CCCTCACCCACCCCCAACATCCCAATAATCAACAAAGAATGCCCCCACCCCCCTTTAGTATGGGTTCTTTCCCTTAGTCTTTTACAGTACCTCACTACATCTTAAAGAGAAAAACTGTCTTAACCCCCACAGTATCCCCCAGAGCCTAGCTACGTGCACACAGTAGGCACTTAAGAACTATCCACTGACAAAATGAAGTTGAGTAACACCTTGCCAACAATTACAAGCTGCCATCAACTCCATAGGGCTTTCAGTAGCTGATTTTTCTGAGGCTGATTGCCAGACCTGTCTTCCGAGGCACCTCTGGATGAACCCGAGCTCCCTTACTTGTTGGCAGTGAAGCTTGTTAACCATTTGTGTCACCTACTAGGAACTCCTTACTAACAAGTTGTGTCCAGGAAAACAGTAGACTTGATTTTTGAAAGATTCTCCGATCTAGATCATACAGTTGGTTTATTTCGTAGTATCCATATGGTTCAAGCTCATCAGCTGCTCCTCAGAAACCCTCTACAGGGTCACTAAGGGTCGGAATCGAGTCGACGGCATTTAGCAACATCATACGTCAGAAATGATGGGATGCTCAGACAATGCCAGCGAAATGTAGTTTTCTAAGCAGAAGTGATAACTCTCGTTTTGGATGAAAGTGTTTACACAGCACATTTTGACAATGATTATGTTGAGAAAAACAAGGTGACTGTCATTTCCTATAAAGAAACTCACCAGCACCCGTCCTAAAATAATTCTCACATTTCAGGGAACAAAATCTTCTAAACTTACGAAGCCAGCTGCCTCCGATCTTCCTGTGCCTGCTGAGGGGGTACGCAATATCAAGAGCATGTGGGAGAAGGGGAATGTGTTCTCATCCCCTACCGCGTCAGGAACGCCAAACAAGGTCAGCACACGATTGGTGTCTTTTAAGTTTAAGGGATTTTTTTTTCCACTTTGTTTTACAAATCACACCATGTCCTGTAACTCATAATCATCATAATAAGTTGCCTTTGAGTTGGCCTCTACTCACGGCCACCTGACATGTGTCAGAGTAGAACCGTGCTCCACAGGGTTTACAGTTCTCAACTGATTTCTCTCAAAAAGATCACCAGGCCTTTCTTCTGCGCTGCCTCAGGATGGACCTGAACCTCCAGTCTTTTGGTAGCAGTGAAATGTGTTATAATTTGCACCACCCAGGGACTAGTTAATAATAAAAGGTGACTACAAAGGCAAGCTCAGAGACCATGTGCTTATGAGGCTAGAGTCTGTCCAATTCTTTGGCCACGGATCTTTACATAAAACACTTGAACTTGAGCTTTATTTAAAGCGCATCCTTTAAATATTTAAACATCCTTTAAATATCAAGTTTAAGGTTATTTTATCATAACTATAAGGAGTCAAGACAAGGATAGTGATAAGATGGTTGCTTGAAGTCAGACTTAAGGGTATTCTGTATCTGCTTTGAAGATTCCCTTTCAGGAATTCCATTTTACCTGTTTCTTCAATATTTCGGATATTGGCTCTTTGCAGGAAACGGCTGGCTTGAAGGTGGGGGTCTCCAACCGCATCAATGAATGGCTTACCAAAACTCCAGATGGAAACAAGTCACCGGCTCCCAAACCTTCTGTAAGTAGCTTTGGGGTTTTCTGAATGTCTTTGCTCACCCAGAGTCTACGGCAGCAAGAGAACATAGACGTGTTTGCCTGGGAAGGATGATGGTGCGCTCAGTCATTTGTTGTCACTGTTTAATGACAAACAAGGTGGCAGTCAGACAGAAGAAACAGGGGGAGCAGCCACTGCAGTTTCCTGGACATTGTAATCAAGTCATCACCGTTCCAGGTTAATGGAGAATGAACTTACACTTTTTACTCTGACCTATTTGTTTAGCTCTTACACTATCAATAATGGACAGGCATTTGAAAATGAAGACGTCAGCTTATTTTAGCCATTTCTTTGCCAACAGCACCTATGAAAGAATCCCCAAGACAGTGTTTCTGTTGGCCGTTTTGAGCCCATATTGTCTGCTTTACCTAATTTCTATAACTTGGCACAAAAATACAGTTATTGAGCAGTTTCGAAATGATCGCTGTCATTTTGTTGTCAACATCTCAGGAGAACATTTTCTCTTTTTTTTTTAAAGAAAGAAAGAAAAACCACAATAAAACTGGAAAATAGAAACAGGGACGGTGAATGTCATTTTAGTATCAAAATGGTATCTATTATGTGTGGCTGTCTTCATAGGAACATTGTCGTTTAACCTTTGTGTTGGATATACACGACAGCCTACTTGCATTTATCATTGTAACCGGAAGTCCATAAGCTCCCTGCTGTCTGGTGGCGAGAGCGTGCTCTGCGCTGCTAGCTACGGGTCCTGCAGATGCCCAAAGTTGCTAAGGCTCAGCGGTCATAACTATCCCGTCCCGAGAAAGAGCAAAAGCTTTCCAACCCTGAGGCCTCTATGCCAGGGAGCATTTGATTGCATTCAGTGGTCCCCTGTATCACCTTCAATGTCTCTAAACATTATTTTATTAAAATAAATGTACTTAATTTTCATTGAAAAGAAAAAAAATGAAAGTATTTTTTATATTATTCCAGGGTATGACTCTTACTGAGCCTCTTCACAGTCACAGGAGAACTGTGCTCCATCATGTTTTCAGTGGCTGATTTTTTTTATTTTTTTTTTTGAAAGAGATCACCAGGCCTTTCTTCTGAGGTGCTTCTGGGTGGATGCCACACTTCAAGTTTTTGTATAGCAGCTGAGTGCATTAGCCATGTGTGCCTCCCAGGAACTCTTACTTTGGGACCAGAGTGTCTTGCTTGATATGAGTTGAGAAGAAGGCATGCATTTGTATGCAGAAGTGTGATCTAAGGGCATCAAGGCAAAATCAGAGGGTAGTTCTTTAACCAAAATGATCCTCACTTAGTGATTCTCAAGAGGAAAAAGAAGCATTCATAGTGTTAGTGTTGAACTCTAGGACTCACTGAAGAGAAAAGCCAGCCTCTACCAGCAGCTATATATGCAAAGAATTAAATGTGCAGGAAAGAGCTGGTCAACTCAGTATTATTTATGAGGCCTCCTCACAAGGAACTTAGCAGTTCATAGACTAAAACATGGACGTCTAGCTGATATCGTCCTAGAACACTGGCTGCTATTTGTGGGTAGAATTCACAGGATTTCAGCATAGCTTTGGAACTGGCATTCAATTCTGAATATATCTGTTTTAGCTGGTGTGTCTGATCTTTGTGTCTACGCTGTATGTTGTATTGCAATTACAAAGCTAATTTGTCTTTTCTTTTTGTTTAAAACAAAAACCACCAACAATGTCTTTCTCAGCTGACTTCTCTACCTCACTCTCTGGTCTCTGGTTGATTGGAAACTTGCTTCTCCTGCCTTCATTTCTCCCTCTTCTTCCGGAGTGGCTCTTTCTCTAAAATGTAGTCTGGTCAGGTAATTTCATTTCTATTTCCTCTCTCATTTAAAATGCCTACTTATAATTTGGAAGTGAATCTTTCTTAAAAAGGCCTCCTTATTTAAATGATTCCCAAAATTTCATTAGGCAGGATTGAAGGGAAATGCATCCAGTTTCTCATGTAGACGAACATTCATGGATAGACAAATATTTGTCTTACACAAATCAAATAAATAAGTGGTAGCAACCTCTTTGCAGAGCCTGTATCAAACGTGTTCCTAATGATGGTTTCCAGCATTTAAAACAGTCTTGCAGACAGTTTGGCAGCTCGTTGCTACCCTGGCAAATGTAGTAGAATTCTTCAACAACCATCTGATTTGTTGCTTAATAGTTCCAAGTTAAATAGGTGTAGTTCGCCAGTAAAATATTCAGAATTCATGCCACAACGAAAATATAGAAACTCAGTAGACTGCCAGCAAACCCAAAATGCTTCCCATGGTACCCCTTAGCCAGTGTATCTGCAGGGTGTGGATCTCGGTGGTACCCATCATGAATATGCCCAAGTGTTCACGCTGCTATAGCTCTACCTTCTTAATGAGAAAAGGGTTTGCCAAATTGAGCACTAGTGTTTCAGTTTTTAAAAAAAAAAGCCACCACATTAATCTTCCACAGGCTACCTTTTGCCAATTGCTAATAGAAGCAAATGCACGAAGAAAAGTAAATGGAAACAGAGATTTGGATCCTTATCTAAGCCCAATTAGGATGAGGTTATAAAGACTTCACAACTATGTAGCTGCTCATCTTTGAGTATTTTCTGCCTAAGATTGCCACACTCTCCCAAATGTCATCAACTGTCAGTTGCTCTTGTGTGTACAGTTGTGATGACCGTTCACTTTGTAGAACTGAATTCTGCCAATAGACATCTGAATGACCCACCTACCCTTCAAGGAGCCAAGAATAATGTTAAGCAGGAGCGTGAGCCATTAGAAAAGTGTTTTAGCTTGGGTTGCCTGTTAACAGAGTCTGAGACAATGATTTGACTGTAGATGGTTTACTTGGACAGTACCCAGTAAGCAAGGAAAGCACAGGCTTACTTGTGCTTATTTGCTAATCTGCATTCACTATGGATAAGTAAATAAGGACAAGTAAACACGTACTTACCTTGCTTACTGACCACTCCACTCCTGTTTACCTCCTGCCATTGAGTTGATTCGGAGTCTTAGTGGCCCTACATAGCGTTTCCAAGACTGTAAATCTTCACAGGAGTGTACAGCCTCATCTTTTTTCTGAGGAGAAATTCGTGGGTTTGAACCACCAACCTTGCAGTTAGCAGCTCAGTACCTAACCCACAGCACCACCAGAACTCCCTTATCCGTGACAAGGATTGTAAATTTGAAGGGGAAGAAAAAAAGACTTTGATTTTGTAGGAAGGTGCTGTGAAGCTTGGAGAGACCGATGCCAGCCAGACTAGAAGCAGCATCTTTGATGTGATTTAAGAAACAAAACTTACATTTAAGTAAGTATGGATAAGTTGTTGTTGTTGTTGTTGTTGTCAAGTGCCATCAAGTCGATTCCGACCCATAGCGACTCTGTATAGGGTTTCCAAGGAGCAGCTGGTGAGCTTGAACCACTGACCTTGCAGTTCAAACGGCTTTGCAGTCTGACGCATTAACCCACAGCGCTACACCAGGAAGCATAAATCAGCCCGTGCTTATCTTCTAACTGGGTAATCCGACACTGGCTGTAAAACACCCAGATGAGAGAAGGGGGCAGAAAAAGAAGACGGTTGATAGATGAGGTACCACCAAGCTAACTTAACCCCCCGGAAGCTCTGGGGCCACCATGGAGCCCACGCCTCAGGGTTGTCCTACCCGAGTGAGCCTGAGGAATCATTTACCTCTAGCTCCTCTCTTCAGTGCTTGGAGACAGCGCTCAGGCATGGGACTCTCCATTTTGCATGACTGACGGGAAAGGTATTAAATAGTAAATTCACTCAAACAAACATAGATGTGGTGATTTCTTGAGACCTGGCCAGAAACTATGAAAGATCTCATCTCTTGTTCCTCTGCGTTAGGACCTGAGGCCAGGAGATGTATCTGGCAAGAGGAACCTCTGGGAAAAGCAGTCTGTGGATAAGGTCACCTCGCCCACTAAGGTAAGCTACAGGGAGGTGCCATCAAACTGGTTCCCACCAGTTCCCACTCATGGTTAAGTGCCATGGAGTCGATTCTGACTCATAGAAACCCTGTACAGGGTTTCCAAGGCTATAAATTTTTATAGGAGCAGAAAGCCTCGTGTTTCTTCTGCAGAATAGCTGGTAGTTTCGAACTGCTGACCTTGCAGTTCACAGACCGATTCATAACCACTACACTACCAGAGCTCCTATAAGTGCAACAGAGGGAAACACCCCCTAGTCCTGCACCCTCCTCACAATTGTTCTTATGTTTAACTGTGTGTTTATGGAATGCATCTTACAATATGATTACCTGGGATAAAATGAAAAATATCAGTGCTACACAGATCCTCCTGTGAAACCGTCCATTTTTAGAAGACCTGTAGAAAGTACAGTAAAGGTAAAGTTCAGAGAAACTTTGGTATTGTGGATCTCATAGGCAGACAACACAGATAACCTCAAGCCCATGGAATGGTTCCCCATGAGACAACCTGGAAGCATCATGGTAAGAATGTGGGCAGAAGAAAACTCTATGGGCCATCCATGTCTACATGGGACAGCCGTGTCTACGTGGGTCAGAGGTGTCTTACATAGGACAATTATATCTAAGTGGGACAGGGTGCCTCAAGACAACAGAGTTACCTTCCTGGGGCAGCCATGTTTGCATGAGACAGTTGTACCTGAATGAATGACTGTGTTTACACAAGACAGCATGACTACGTGACTTTACAAGTAAAGGTCCTGGCTGGGAGCTACAGTCATTGGGTGGACACCTAGTATCAAAATTTGTCTCCATAAGTAGCTCCAGAACTACTTCCTGAACTTCCTAGAAGATTCCATTGCCAGCAGCCTAGGTCTTACAGATGCTATGGAAGAATTAATCATGCGAAACCTGCTATGCTCAGAAAACTAGGGACAAGGAATGCTTATATTTGCCTTTCACTCTTGTCTTGCAGACAATTTGTCTTCTACTCAAAAGGGTTGGTTACCTTCACCACTGTCTGTTCCCCAAACTCTTTCATCACCTCAAGCAGAAATTCTGGGCTCACTAAACAGTAACCCTCAAGTTACCCCAACAAGTGTCATAGTTTAAAGAAAAGGCGGGGTCAGTGTATAAGGCCATACCACCCTGAACTCGCCCCATATTGTTTGATCTCAGAAGCTAAGCAGGGTAGGGCCTGGTTAGTCCTTGGATGGGAGACCACCTGTGAAGACCGGGAGCTGTAAGCTTTTCTTTTGTGCGTGTGCACAGTTCAGTGCTCACTAAGCAGTAACTCTAACTTATCATCTCCTTGCACCTGCTTCCTTAACAGTGATGTCTGCTGCCTTCTTCTGAGGATGCAGAGTCAACAGAAAATGAAAAGTTCTAACACTCCTCATGAGTGCAATGCTTTCCTGGTAGAACGGGAGAGCAAGATAATTTTACAAACAAATAACGCATCTTTCTGTTGTTGCTAAGTCATTGTAACCTTCGGGCATAGGGTTCTGTTTTAGAATGCGCTTTCTAGGGAAGCAAAACCAGTGAAACATATATAATGTCTATATCTAAAGAAAAGTGTATTGTCAAGGAAATAAATGGCTTATAATTATAGAGTCCCAGATCCCCAGCGGAAGAGAGAGTGACCCTTCCCATGTGTCCATTATATTGGGAGCAGGCCACACACCCCCAAGGAAGCATCCTTTCAGTTGATTGGCTGCTCATAGCCACTCATCAGAGAGTTAACTGTGCCTCTGTTAGGTCTCACCACCATGGGAATAAGCACATCTGAACCGTTAAGACACTGCAAATCCTGGCTTAGTCATGTTGACACAGAACCCCAACTACTGCAGCATCTGACCTTTCAGAAGTAGCATGCCACATGTCCCTGTAACCTGCTTTCTGAGTAGGGGATATCAGCTGCTCAGAGTCCATGCATCACAGGTATAATGGAGCCCCTGCAGACAGCATCCCTGTAAGCCAGGGCACTGGGACAGTGGAGCCCAAACACACTCTGGGATGGTAGGACTGCAAACCCCACACATACACATCACAGCAAGAACGGGGCTCACTGGGCTTGGAGGGGGACTGGGTGAGATGTCATGACCACCCATCCTGCTTCTCTGTCGCTACCACTAAACGCTTTCTATGTTGTGGTTGTTAAGTACTGTAAAGTCAGGTCTAACTCATAGCAACCCAGTATAGGTTTTCAAGGAGTGGCTAGTGAGTTTGAACTGCCAAGCTTGCGGCTCAAACCAACCTTGTGGTCCAGTGCTTATCCCACAGTGCCATACCAGGACTCTTTCTATAGTAATAATTATTATTATAGTAACAATAATAATTACATGGAGCCCTGGTGGCACAGTGGTTAAGCATTCAGCTGCTGACCAAAAGGTCAGCAGTTCATACCCACCAGCAGCTCTGCTGGAACTCTGCTTCCATAAAGATAGCTTAGGAAGCCCTACGGGACAGTTCTACTCTTCACATAGCATCACTAGGAGTTGAAGTACCTGAGATGGCACCATAGACAACAACAACAGCAATAATGCCAACTAGACCCCGCTGAGTTTATGGAGTGATGGAGTTAAGTAGCACCTTTGCTCCAAATATCAAAAGTCAGTGCTAGACTTCTGGTTTGGCGATGGCAGAGCACAGTCAGATAAGACAGGTTCCTTGGGAGACAGGCTGAAAACCCAGAGACACTGCTCCCACAAAACTGCACCAGAGCTCTGGATCTAGCATAAATGTCAGGGCGTCAGTTTCCCACAACCACCAGGGGAAAAATCACGTTGTAAAGGAAAATATTGTGATTTAGAAATCGGTCAAGTAATCAGGACTCCCTCTGCGGCCAATCCACCTGGGTGGCGGTCAGAGGGTGGGGCTACAGCCAGACCCCAGCACTGGGAACCCACACTAAAAGCAGCGTAGTGACATTTGCAAAAGGAAGTGTGGGGGGATTCTACACATTTTTTTCCTCCTCTTCCCTGTCACGCCTTCTTTGTCCAGCCCAGATGCCTTCAGGCGGGTGGGTGCACACCCCCCAAAAAAAGTCCACTGTTGAGACCACAGCTTTCCCACGGCACAGAGAGAAAGAGCCCCATTGGTCCGAGGGCAAATCCTTTGGCTACTGCTTTTGACTTCTGCTGTAGGTCCCAGCCCTAAAGTGAACTTGTGCGGAACCCTTTACCCCTGTCTTGTTGTTGTCAGGTGCCATCGAGTCGGAACTGACTCATAGCGACCCCATGCACAGCAGAACGAAACAATGTCCAATCCTGGGTCAACCTCACTACCACTGCCACACTTGAGTCCATCAATGATGCCACCTGGCCGATCCATCTCGTTGGGGGTCTTCCTCTTTTTCTCTGACCCTCCACCCTACCCAGCATGACATCCTTCTCCAACGATCGTTTCCTCCGGACAATATGTCCAAAGTAGGAGAGACGAAGCTTAGCCATCCTGGCCTCCAAGGAGCACTCTGGCTGCACTTCTTCCAAAACAGATCTATTGGTTCTTTTGGCAGTCCATGGCACTTTCAGTATTCTCCTCCAACACCACAACTCAAAGGCATCAATTCTTCTACGATCCTCCTTATTCACTGTCGCATCCATATGAGGCTATTGAAAACACAATGACCTGGGACAGGCGCACCCTAGTCCTCAAGCTGACATCTCTGCTCTTCAACACTTTAAAAAGTTCCTATGCAGCAGATTTGCCCAGTGCAATACGTTTACCCCTGTCTAGTCAGCAAGAAAAAAGCAGGTTTGGTCTGACAGACAAACCATATGAACAATCTGCAAAACCCCAACATTTAAAAGACGCAACTGTTTCAAGAAATACACTGTGCACACACAGATACCTAACTGACCTTCAGAAACAAAAATATAAACGATCTTTCTTCCATTAACTTCTCAATATCTATCTGTGCACCTCTATGATGGTGACTAGAGGAGGGGCCTGAGCGAGTGGACACCCACACCCACACCTGGAGTCTTCTACAATGCACACACACTGCCTGTGTAGCAAGGCAACTGGCCAGTTGGCCACAGTTTTATCTTTGTTTCAAAGTGGTGGTTTTTGTCTCTGCTTTTATATTGCTTCTGCTTTGGGGCCTTTTGATGACATGTTTTCCCAGGAGGTGGGAGCTTTTTCTCCCTACATTACCCAAAAAGAGTCAGTAATCATGGCCATATAGCCATATAGGTGGAGCACGGGCAATACACAAGAAGGGGGAGAGGAATGGAAGAACAAAGCTGATGGGAGAACAGGCTGGTTCACATGGGGTAAGCGGGGCAGAGGTAAATGATGATGTATATGCACAACCTTGGAACAACAGGCTTTGGGATACAGGGATTGTGGCATGGTTTGAAAGGGTAAGAGAGGGGAATAATGTTAAGATGCTTGGCTGTCTTTTGAATCTTAGTTTCCCTTGCCTACCATTGTGAAATAGACACTTGAGGAGGAGGGACAGGGGAGGAATAGCCAGAAACATCATAATAGAAAGCTTGTAAGTCCCTCTTCAGCCTATAACTGATTGGAATACCTTAAAGGGGGCTAGAAATTGCCCAGTGTAAAAGACCTCCTGTGGAGCTTTTACATTTTATAAGACCATAGATGGAAACCAGAATCCCATCCAGAATTATCTGAGGTAGGAAATTTCCACTGGAAAGGACAAGTAGACAAGCCTGGAGTGGATAGAAGAACAGAAGATATTTTGTGAAGAAAGACCAGCAGGAAAAATCAGAACCAGTAATGGCAGTATGATGGATTACTACAAGTACAAGTAAGCTGTTCACCCAGGAGCCATCAAGGCAAGCGGTCAGTTTCCCTCAGAGCAAACTCCCGTCCTAGACTAAGACTCAAGGGGAATACATGAGCAGGCATGTGGTCTGGCTGGTGACCATGTTGGTCACCAACAGACTCTTGTGAACCTGGGCAGAGACCTGGATGGCCAGCAGTTACGGCATGACCCAGGGACTCCTGGGCCCAGGGGCAGTTACGTACCACG